TCAGTTGCCCAGGTGGGTCTCGAACCCGCGGGCTCAGACAATCCACTCACCTCAGCCTCCCAAAGGCGCGGGATTACAGGCTGAGCCACCAAACCCAGCTTGTATCTGGTTTTTTTGAGTTGGAGTCTTACTCTGTCGCTCAGACTGGAGTGCAGTGGCCGCTCCCGGCCACCGCAGCCTCCACCTGCTGGGCTCCGGCAATCCTTCCGCCTCAGCCTTCCAAGCTGGAACTACAGGTGCACGCTACCACGCCCGGCTAATTTTTTGATTTATTGTAGAGATGAGGTCTTGCCTGCCCAGGCGGGTCTCGAACCCGCGGGCTCAGGCAGTTCACTCACCTCAGCCTCCCAAAGGCAGGAGATTACAGACTGAGCCACCGAGCCCGGCTGTATCTGTTTTTAAATTATTATTATCATTTTGTAGAGATGAAGTCTCACTATGTTGCCTAGGCAGGTCTCGAACTCCTGGGCTCAAACAATCCTCCTGCTTTGGCCTCCCAAGTGTGAGCCACTGCACCCAGCCACTAAGTCCATTTAGATAAGAAAGGTTATCAGCTGTGTCCCTAAGCCTAGCATCCTGCCTAGCACACAGCAGAATACAAATACAAATATTTTAGTAATTCCTCAAAATACCCTTGTGCAGTAGTAGGCAGTACAGTAGAAGCCCTTGAAGAGTGGTGGAATGTGCCACCTCAAAATATTTCACTAGGCATAAGGATTATTTTGAGCTAAAGGCACTTGAAAAACAGCAGATACGAGAAGGTAGTCTGACCTCCCCTTTTCTTCCTGAAAGCAGGAAACAAAACTCCCATGTAAAAGATGTCCTCCTTACACCAGGAGGAAGGAAATTTGTCACCAGTTGAGGCCAAGAGCATTCTGTACAGACTTTGTTAAAATAATTCTTGGCTGGGCGTGGTGGCTCACGCCTGTAATCCCAACACTTTAGGAGGCCGAGGCTGGAGGATTGCTTGAATTCAGGAGTTTGAGACCAGCCTAAGGAACATGGTGAGATCTTGTCTCTACAAAAAAAAAAAAGTTTGCCAGACTCAGTAGCTCAGCCTGTAATCCCAGCACTTTGGGAGGCCGAGGTAAGTGGATTGCCTGAGTCTGCAAGTTCGAAACCAGCCTGGGCAACTTGGTGAGACCTCGTCTCTACAATAAATAAAAAATTAGCTGGGCGTGGTAGTGCGTGCCTGTAGTTCTGCTCTTTCTTTAGCCCCCTCATATATCTCAGTTGTTTTTCCACAATTGCCTCTCTTTGTTCCGCCTCTTAGAAAACCCCTTTCTTGGGTCATCATTTCCTCAGGAGGGCTCCCATGTCATGAAGACTGATATTAAGTAACTCAATTCCATGAGCTCAGGCAATCCTCTCACCTCAACCTCCCAAAGTGCTGGGATTATAGACGTGGGCCACCACGCCTGGTCATGATATTAAGTAACTCTGCATGCTTTTCTCCTGTTAATTGTCTTATGTCAATTTAATTCTCAGGCCCAGTCAGAGACCCAAAGAGGGCAGAGGTAACATTCTGCTTCCCTTACTCTCTCTTATCTGACATGATTGGGAGCGGGTTATTTTATTTCAACTTAAAACAAACAAAAAAATACATTCATTTTCCATCTGTCAAAGAGGGGCCATAAAGCCGGGCTCGGTGGCTCAGTCTGTAATCCCCCGCCTTTGGGAGGCTGAGGTGAGTGGATTGCCTGAGCCCGCGGGTTCAAGACCCGCCTGGGCAGCGAGACCTCATCTCTACAATAAATAAAAAAAATCAGCCGGGCATGGTAGCGCATGCCTGTAATTCCGGCTACTTGGAAGGCTGAGGCGGAAGGATCACCGGAGCCCAGCAGGTCGAGGCTGCGGTGGCTGGGAGTGCCCACTGCACTCCAGTCTGGGCAACAGAGTGAGACTCCAACTCAAATAATAAAAAAAAAAAAAAGAGGGGCCATGGTCCTTCCATTGAGGATGGAGCCAGTGACTGGAGTTCTCCACCATCCAACCTTCTTAAGTGCCCCTCACCAGCTGGTGTCACCTGACATTTCCGGTTTGCCTCCTGAAGGTGAAACAATCAATGGCGTGTGAAGCAATCTGAGGGCAGAATTTATTTAGATTTTTATGATTCTCTCCCAATTTGTAATCATCTCCTTGCTCACATCTAATTCTACAGCAGCTTTTAAAAATAACTCACGGCCGGGCGCAGTGGCTCAAGCCTGTAATCCCAGCACTTTAGGAGGCCTAGGTGAGAGAACTGCCTGAGCTCAGGAGTTCGAGACCAGCCTGGGCAACTTGGCGAGACCTCATCTCTATAATAAATCAAAAAATAAGCCAGGCGTGGTAGTGCACACCTGTGGTTCCAGCTACTTGGAAGGCTAAGACAGAAGGATCATGTGGGCCAAGCAAGTGGAGGCTGTGGTGGCCAGTGTCACTGTACTCCAGCTTGAGCAACAGAGTGAGACTACCAACTAAAAAACAAACAAACAAAAGTAACTCACCTTTTTTCTCCATCACTGGAAGAAAATAATAATAATAAAGAAAAAGAATTCGTTACCCGCCTGGGCAGCGAGACCTCATCTCTACAATAAATCAAAAAATCAGCCGGGCGTGGTAGCGCGCGCCTGTAATTCCGGCTATTCAGAAGGCTGAGGCGGAAGGATCGCCGGAGCCCAGCAGGCGAGGCTGCGGTGGCCGGGAGTGGCCACTGCACTCCAGTCTGGGCGACCAAGTGAGACTCCAACTCAAAAACAAAAAATAGAAAAAGAAAGTCACCTTAGTTGAGTCTCCTAAGGATTCAACCTAGTTTTTGTAGATACAATGCTTGTTTTCACACTCTTAGTTCAACAATTTATGTAATATTTAATTACAAATTGGAATGACACATGCAATTGGCAGAAACACACTTGGTATTAAATCACAACTGACTCAGTAGGCGATGGCTTAGTGCTCATGGCCTGGGACTGAATCCCAATTTCTCCACATACTAGCTGTGTGACCTGGGAATTCAAACTGCTGAAGCTTTGTGCCTTACTTTCCTCATCTGTGAAAGGGAACAATAATAGCACCTCATAAGTGGGTTGGACAGGATAAGGGAGAAAACGCTCGTGAGTCGCTTGGCATAGTGTGAAACCTGTGCCAAGTGCTCAGTCAATGTTGCATACAAGGTCTGACAATTAGGTTTGCGAACTCATCCTAGAAAAAATGCTCCATACTCCCTATTGCCAAATGTCACTATGGTCACCTTCAAAGTACCCTCCTTGGGAAGCTATGCACTGACACCAGCACCTACTCCACCTGTCAAAGCAATTTTGAACTCTTTCTCTGGAACGGCCATCAGAGCTGCTGTCGTCGTATTACCCTTGATGTCCTGAATCATCAAATAGCTTCCTTTCAATATTTCCTTTATCTTCGGATAAAAAAAAAGTCACTGGGGGCCAGGTTGGGTGAGTAGGGAGGATGTTCCAATTCAGTTACTTTTTACTGGCTAACAACTCCCTCATAGACAGTGCTGTGTGAGCTGGTGCACTGTCGTGATGCAAGAGCTCCTTCAGAACCATTTTTGCACACACTTTTCTCATGCCAAGATTTTCACTCAAGATTTTTCTGTTTCTCTATTGATGTTTATTTTGTCTGCTGTGCTTCTTACAGTCAGCCGACGGTTCTGACATACAACTCGACAAATTTTTGGAGTGTTTTGGTCAGTTCTGCTCATTACTGACTGTCTTGACCTGTCTTCATCAGTGATGCTTTCTGTCCCTTCAGAAAAACATTTAATCCATTTGTACACTGCCGTCTCCCCCATGGCATTATCCCCAAAAACTGCACTAACATGTCCCTGATTTCACGTCCATTCTTGCCAAGTTTAACAAGAAATGTAATGTTTGTTAGTTGTTCTAATTCAAACGCTGACATTCTCGCAACAACAGCTCTGATGGCCATTCCAGAAAAAGAGTTCCAAAATTGCTTTGATGGGTGGACTGGACATAGGCATCAGTGCATAGCTTCCTAAGGGGAGGACTTTGAGGGTGACTGTAGTGATATTCAGCAATGAGGTATATAGCGCTTCTTCTAGGATGAGTTCACAAACTTAATGGTCAGACCTCATAAATCAGTTCTGTTCTGCGGATGCCCACGTTTGGCATCCCTCCGTCCCCCGAATTTCACAGAGGGAGTGGAGTGCGTCAGTCAGGTAAGACGTACCTTCCATGGTAATATTACCATCTCCCATACGAGAAAATGGAGTGGTCTGGAGAGAGTCAGTGACTCCAAAGTCACTTAACCAAGGAGTCAGTTCTGATTTTGATTTTGATTATTTATTTGTTTAGAGCAGGGTCTCACTCTGTCACCCAGGCTGGAGTGTGGTGGCACAGTCAGCTCACTGCAGCCTTGAACTCTTGGACTCAAGTGATCCTCCTGTCTCAGTCTCCCAAGTAGCTGGGACTATAAAAGCACACCACCACCACGCCTGGCTTTTTTTTTTTGAGACAGGCTCTTGCTAGGTCCTCGAACTCCTGCCCTCAAGCGATCCTCCTGCCTTGGCCTCCCAAAGTACGAGGATTACAGGTATGAGCCACCATGCCTGGCCAGAAGTCAGTTTTTAGAACTACAAAGGTCCTAGCACTTATGAAGTTTGGATCCAGAGAGAAAAAGGAAACCCACCACCATTTTCTTGTTTTCTTTTACCTACGGAGTCCAAAAATCCCAATGCAGAGCTAACAGAACCTCTCGGTGTCCTGCCTCCTCTGGCTGTGCTGTGTTCCAGGTCCCTGTAGGAAGAAGTAGGGTCCCGGAAACCCCTGGAGTGTGTGTGGGGCAGGTGTGGCAGAGGCAAGGGCTGTGGCCACAGGTGATATCACATGATGGTGCAGAAGCCAGATGTAGTGGGCTTCCTCTGAGGGCTCCTGCTGAGGGCTTCCCTGGGCCACGTGGCTGACCTGAGGAGGCAGGAGGGAGCTTGGCACTGAAGGCAACTTGGGAAAGAAAGGGAGGCAGCCAGCCTGGCTCCAGCCTCCCGGGCCCTCACCTCTGCTGGTGGCCTCCAGGGCAGAGAGGAGGAGGCTTCACCACCGCCCTCACCCCCTCCCCCATTCTGCAGGACTCTCCCTTCCTCTGAGGCACCGGCAGGCCATGCAAGAGCCAGGGCCCACCATGGACCTCCGGGATTGGGGAAAGGTTGTTCAGATTGCTACAGGGTAACGACAAAGAGGCTTGGGACCAATATCCCAAGCACCAGAACACAGCTTTCATGGTGGTCCATTAAATCAGGCCGGCCAGGCTCAGTGGCTCAGTCTGTAATCCCAGCACTTTGGGAGGTGGAGGTGAGTGAATTGCCTGAGCCCGCGAGTTCAAGACCCACCCAGGCAACTTGGTGAGACCTCATCTCAACAATAAATCAAAAATTAGCCGGGTGTGGTAGCACACGCCTGTAGTTCCGGCTCCTTGGAAGGCTGGGGCGGAAGGATCGGCGGAGCCCAGCGGGTAGAGGCTGTGGTGGCTGGAAGTGTGTCACTGCCCTCCAGTCTGGGCAACAGAGTGGGACTCTGACTCAAAAAAAAAAAAAAACCATGCCAAGACACATCTTCCACGTGCTGTGCCATTCTTTAGGCCTCCTCTGTCCCAGGGACCCACCTGTTGGCTTGAGGGCCATCGGGTACCAGGGTGCCAGGGTACTCCACTCTGGGAGGGCCTGGACCTCCAAATGGAAGACGGGCCCCCGGTCCTGGACCTGGATGGAGAGAGACAGACATATACATCACAGACTGCTCTGCACCAGGAACCATTAGAGTGGAAAAGAGAAACATCTAGAGAGCCAGGAGGGGCTGGGGGTTGCACTGGTCACTATGCACGGAGGGTGCCAAGGACCGACCTCTCCAGGGTTGGTGCTTGGTACACACGGGCCGACTAGAGGGTAGATGGTGGGAGTGATTCAGTGTTCCTGGAAGGAAACGCACGAGAATGACATGGGTTCAAGTCAACTCAAGAAGTAGCAAGGGGCCGGGCTCGGTGGCTCAGCCTGTAATCCCGCGCCTTTGGGAGGCTGAGG